TTTTAAAAAAAAAAAATTGTTGTTTTTTTTTTTTGTACATTTTCATCCTCTTTTACCATCTTTTTTGTGAAAAGTTGGAACCCATACGAAAGTGTATGAAGGAATTCTATAAATAGGAATAGAATTCATGGATTAATATACTAATTTTCATTTATATACTTTGAAATAATCATACTAAACTCTCTCAAAATTATACTTAGAATTATTTCAAATTCTTTTCTTGTTCCTTTATTCCGGGTTTCAATAGTGCTAATTGCAACCAGGTTTCTTGACTTGAAATTCGCTAAAGCTATTTGTGTGTTGGTCCTTTAGCATTCTCATTACTGAGATGGCGCAAATATGGCTTTTAAGACAGCATTCTTTGCGATTCAAGTCTTCTTCTTTTCTTCTTAGTCTTCTATTTTCTTTTGATTGTTATTACATATAATTTGGAGTTCCTCTTGAATTATCATTGGAGGCGTGTTATCTATTTCGATGATAAATTTTCTCAACAGCCCCGACCCTAATCACTGTCATCAGAGCCCCAACCCTAATTCCATATAACACCATTGAAAAAATGTAGAAAGTAAGGGGACTACCAAGAGGCTGACTACGACAAGTATGAGGATAAAGGAAAAAGGACGGGGAGAGGAAAAGTGGATTGGTACCATAGAAATAGTAATATTATCGTATTACAAAGAGAGTCTGACGGCTCAGGCAGGGGTGAAGTTCGACCACGACAAGAGATTAAATTGATCAAATAGCTTTGAAGGGGAAAAGAAATGATGTGGATGGAGATAAGTGGGAGGAATCCGATGGGGAAATAGTGAAAAGGGGATGGGGGATAAAATAAAAATGCGTGGGTGGGTAGGGTGCGGGGTGGGAGGGTTAAAAAAAAAAAATCAAATGCGGGCAAAGTCACGCCAACATTGAACATCATAACTTCTATTGATTCTGGGCAAGGGACCAATTCTGTTAACATTAAAGATGCTCTAGAGGCACTGTTATCAATTGATGAATTCGCTTTTTTCCAAGAAATTATGTCCTTGTGTTTTAAAAGCAACAATGACAAAATAAGATTTTTCTGAGGCACTATCTAGTATGATTCCCTAGAAGTAAATAATAATTTTAAGAAAAAGGCGATGGCGCCCACACAAGCACTTGGGTTCTCGGCAGATTTTTTTAAATGTAGTCGAGAATTATAATTCCTATCGTTGTACTTTCAATAGACAACATTTTATCATATCGTTAATTTTATCATGCATAATAATTATATAAATGCTCAGTATTATTATTCTATAATAATTTTAAGTATTTTATTATTGAAAATAAACAACAATAAAAATGTTAAACAAATGGAATAGTGATCCTACACATTAAGATAAAAAAAGAAATATGTTGCCCTTTTTGTGGATAAATTTACAGGGTGTTTGATGAATATTAAAATTAGATTTTTAGTAGACTGTGATAGAAATTTTTGAAATATGTGGTTGAAAAGTTGTGGGATCCATGAAAAATGTGATTAATATTGATTGTTTGACTTCGATTTGGATTAAAATTATATTTTAATCCGAACCAAATAGGGCTTGAACTAGTTGTCATTGAATATTCTCAAATGCTTCTCATTTGCCAAGTTAACTATAAAATGTTTGATTGTGCTATATGTAAGCTACACATGATGTAGTGAGATATGATTTGATCAGAATTTCTTCAACCAAATAAAAAATATATATTTCCACTTTTTTTCTGACACCTCATATGTATGCATTTTGTTGACCTCGAAAAATGGCTACGACACCTGGTCAACAGAAGATGTCTTCAAGTCAGCTCTTCCCTGCACACGTGGCACACCGTCAGTCACTCGTAGCCTTTCCCAAAGGGATTGGGAGCGGCCGCAAGCACTCCGACAGTCAAGTCAACTTGGTATTTAACCAAAAAAAAGGGGTTCGCCGGCGGTAGGATATTCGCCGGGAAATAGTTTGAGAATATGTATATAATAAGAGTGCCCACAATGTGGGGGAGAAGATAATACCCAAATGTTTGGTATAGTCGTGTCTTGAATCTCTTCAAAAGGTCCCATTCTTCAGACATAAGGAGGGAGCATTTATACTAAGGATGGGAAGTGGAGAAACGTTGGATAAGGAGACACGTGTTGCTAGATCTCCAAAATTCTCCCCATCCTAGGTGTCAATCTGTCCGTCCATAGGATGGCTGGCATTTAATGTTTTCTGGTATGGCAGCTGAATTGACCGTCTGGGGACCTGTCACACGTCCCATCAGCCAGGGATTTGACTTTGATTGATTCTCGGCCTCGACGCATCGCTACGCATTACGCATTTTAGAGCACTGGATAGAAGTGACTGCCCATAATTCTTTTAAGGCGGGCCTCCCCAAGACTCCATGGTAGGCGGATCGGCGGTCCACAACCAGGAATTCCATGAAGTGGTGTGCTATCTGGGGCGAGGCTCCCATTTCAATAGCCAGAGTAATCTTTCCCCTGGGAATGATGCTGTCTCCGGTGAATCCATAAAGGGGC